TTATGGAAAATTACGAAGTATACAAACCGGATTTATAATCAGTACAAACCATACAAACATACGAACAGTACAAACTAGAGCGACAAAACATACAAACAGATTTACAAACATTACAAACGTATGAACTGTACAAACAATACAAACTAGACCTACAAACAATACAAACCATACAAAAAGAAAAAACAACCGGGTTGACTTTTGAGGCTCCATCCCTATATAGAGGGGCTCCTTCCCAAAGTCAACCCGGGTGTTTTTTTAGACATACAAACAGTACGAACATGGTGGACAAAAATGACAAACTAGACCGACAATCCTTACGAACGGGAAAAAACTCCCGGGTTGACTTTGGAGGCTCCAACCCTATATAGAGGGGCTCATTCACAAAGTCAACCCGGGTGTTTTTTAGACATAAAAAACATTACAGACATGGTGCACAAAAATAACAAAATTTACAAACATGGTGCACAAAAATAACAAAGTTTACAAACATTACAAAAAAACCGACAAACATTACAAAATAACAAAGCATACAAACATTACAAAATATGTCAACAAACATTAAAAAATCAGCATTGTCGCCGGAAAATTCTTCTCCGGCGACGATGTTCGTCGGAAAAAAAAATCTACGATCAGAAAATCAATCTCTCTCTCTCTCTCTCTCTCTCTCTCTCTCTCTCTCTCTCTCTCTCTCTCTCTCTCTCTCTCTCTCTCTCTCTCTCTCTCTCTCTCTCTCTCTCTCTCCAACAACAACAACAACAACAACAAATAATTCCAATCATCCATGGCCTCTCTCTCTCTCTCCCCGCCAACAAAAAATTCCCATTCCCAAATAATTCCAATCATCCATGGCCTCTCTCTCTCTGCCAACAAATAATTCTCATTCCCAAAAAATTCCCATCAGTCATGGCGCCTTCGGAAGCTTCCTCCGCCGCTATAATTCCCCCGGGAACGGCGGCGTGGGTTGGGGATCCGCCGGGAGAATTCCCAGAAAACAAAACAGACAGGGACCCCCCCTTAGTCACCTGATCTTAGCCCCTTCCAAACGCATCCACGAATCTGGAGCTCGTGAAGGCCGAATTACTGGACTACCCTTCTCTGCTTTCTGCAATTCAAGGCTGCACCGGCGTCTTCCATGTCGCCAGTCCTGTTCCCTCTTTCGTCGTACTGAATCCACAGACTAGTGTATATATCCTATACTCCTAACAAACTGAACTTGAAGCACTCGAAAATTTTCCTTGATCTCAACGAAAGTGAATTTAAAAAAAAAAAAAAGTGGGTTTTGTTTTCCAGGTTGAGATCATCGAGCCAGCAGTGACTGACTGGAACCCTAAATGTTCTTAAAGCCTGCGTTGAGACGAAGGTGAAGCGAGTGGTGGTTGTTTCTACTGGTGTTGCTGTCATCATGAACCCTACCTGGCCCAGCGGTCGAACCATGGACGAGTCTTGCTGGTCCGATGTGGAATATTGCAGAGCTACTGAGGTGTGAACGATACTGTTTATCGATGCGGTTATTGGTATTAGTTTTCCCCCTCCCTTATTGGTTAATTCCTAACCATCATATTGATTAGTGGTTAAACGAAACTGATGAACCGATTAGTATCATATCCAAAAATGTAATTTTTTTCCTGTTGATGTTGATTATCTACAGAGATGGTATCAAGTTTCCAAGACAGAAGCAGAGAGCCAGGCAATTGAGTACGGGAAAGCCACTGGACTCGATTTAGTAACCGTTTGTCCCAATCTCATCATGGGCCCTGTTCTTCAGCCAACGTGGAACGCAAGCACCTTGGTTCTCTCCATGGCTTTGAAAGGTAGCGCAGTTGTTATCCCGTGATAATTTTGGAAAGATATCACAAAAGGATTTCCCTTTCGTTCATCATTCTTGCTACTGTAATTGCAGAAGGAGGTCAGGACTCTGTGGAGAACAAGCATTGGATGGTTGTGGATGTGCGTGATGTAGCCGAAGATTTGGTCTTGGTGTATGAGAAACCCGAGATGCAGGGGAGGTACATATGCTCGGCTCATTCGGTTCGTGTTAAGGACATGGTTGAGATTGTGACGGAAAAATACCCTGACTACAATCGTCACAAGAAGTAAGCTTCCTTATATGAAACTATAAACCGCGGTTCGGTGCTCATGCATACGCTTGTTCCCGGTTTGGTTTGGAAAGAGCATGGTTCAAATTGCAGTTTGAAACGTTTTTTCTTTTCTTTTTTTGGCAGCTTTATTGAGGAGGGACAGGAAAAGAAAGAAACCAGCTCAAAAAAATTGCAGAGACTAGGTTGGAGTTACCGTGCACTACAAGAAACTCTTGTGGAATCTGTGGAGAGCTATAAGAAGGCAGGCTTCTTGGACTAGATGCCTGGATGGGAGGCATTGGTGATTAGAAATTTGTCCAAAGCTATGAAGTTAAATTGATTTCTTAAGAGAGTTGCAAATCAAAGTGGAAGTTCATTTCAAGATACTGCTCTCCATTAACCTCAAATGAACATCCACCATTGAATCATGTTTTTGTTTGAAAGATTTCTAAAGATGTGTCATCCACTGTATTGGTTTGAGCCGTCGAAAACTTGAAATTTTGATTTAATTGTATGCTGAATCAAAATTTTTGATACGGAGAGTCTGGTGTAGTGACTATAGATGTTGTTTTAATTTTGAGATAAATGATTATTTTAAATGTTTAGATATAGTGTATGATTGATTCTTTTATGGATTTCTAACTTTGTTAACGAGTCTCACGCTTTTCAATGTTTTAATGGAGTAGACTCTACCTTCATAAGAAAATGATTTCAATGTTTGGCAAAATCCACTTCCATAGCCACAACTTTGCACTTTGTGACAAACATAGCCAAGTTTTGAAAAATACACAGAAATAGCCATTCCGTCCATTAACTTAACGGAAATCTAATGATGGATGACTGGACAAACGATCGTCTATGACCGCGCCTGCCTTCATCTACGTGGCAATGCTAGGGTGGAATTTAAATTCAATAATATTTATTAAAAAAAAACCCTACTTTACCTCTTCTCCATCCGCCCCTCTCCTTTCCGATTGGCCACCTCTTGCCTCCCGTCCGTTCTCGTCGTATCATCTTCTCCGTCATGTTCATCTCCTCCATTTTTTCCCCGACGCGTCGCCAAACAAATACTTATCTTTTCTCCGGGAAGAATTCTCCGGCGCGGAGGCAAGAATTGAGGAGGGGAAGTTGAGAATTGGATTTCTGAGAGTGGAGGCGCCAATTGAAGCAAGTCCCTCGTAGAGCTAGCTGCAGCGACGGCTTGAGGCGTTTCTCGGCCTCAAAGGGATCCAACCAGCGGAGAAGTTGCCAATTGAAGCAAGTCCTCAGTTGATTTCTAGGGATAGTCTTCTCTCTCTCTCTCTCTCTCTCTCAACTCTCGACTAGATCTACACAACAAACACCGCCACCTGCTGAAATACCACCACCGCCACCAGAACTTCTTCATCCTCAATCGCCATCGTCGTCATCATCTTCTTCCTTCCTGCGGTGGAGATGAGAGTTGGGTAGGAGAGACGGATGACCCAGCCTGCAAAACAGGGCAAGGCCGGCGCAGGCGGAGAATAACGAAAACAGAGGTACGGTCAGCGCTGCTGCTAGCTCTCTCATCATCTCCCCCCTCAGAATCGTCATCCTCCCCCACATAATCGTCATCTTCCTTGTCACGAAACCCTCCCCATCATTCATTAAAGAAAACCCTCCCCATGAAAAAAGAAAAAAAATCCCCAAATCTTGAAACCCTCATTCGTCTGTCATCACTCATCCGCCTATCCTCCTCCTCTTGCCTCCCGTCCTTCACTCTTGTCAATGGCGCCACCACTGCTGTCCCAACCACCCTTCCAATTACTTCCCAACCTTTCACCTTCTTCGCTCACTCCACACTTCTTTTCCCCTTCCATTCCTCCACCCCAATTTGAAATTCAAATAATGAAGAAACAAATGCTCTAGCTTTAGCTCGCTTCTCTCCAAGGACCATTAGGTCCGCCGCCGCCGATTTTTGCGATGAAGAAGATAAGGATTGAGCAGCGAAGTGATTTGAAGATTGGGAAATAAGATGGAAGTCGGATTTCGGCGTCGCTGGGAGAAGACGATGGAGTGATTTAATTGCTCGATACCATTTTCTCTCTCCTCATGATGACGTGGCATGGAGGTGGCAATTCCCGTCCAGTTGGCGACGACGTGGCGTCCACATGTTGGCCATCTCAGCGACGCGAATAGGTAACTAACGGTGTTCCTAACGACGTCACATTTAATAACGAAAATGGTTATATTTGTCAAAGCATTTTCAAAATTTTGGCTATTTTTGTGTATTTCTTAGAATCTGGCTATATTTGTCACAAAGTGCAAAATTATGGCTATGGAAGTGAATTTTGCCTCAATGTTTTAATGTGATAAACTCGAACTTGAAATCCGGAGTGCAAGGGACGTCTGGTAAGCAATATTTTGGTCGGACCGGAAATATTAGATAAGTATCCCAAAATGATAAGTGATTAGCATATGAAATAGTTAAACTATTTAAATTATGATTATAGTATAAAATACTATATCACTAACTTTTTTGGTATAACCTCTAGTGTGATTTCACAATCATTGCTAGTAAGGCATCTACACAAATGACAATCCTAAATGGGATTGTTTGGATGAATCAATTAAAAAACGAAGAAAAAAAAATTTAGTCAGTTGTGTCATTATATAAAACGAGTTAATCGAAACGAGTCAATTCGAATTATCTGCCCCATCCTAGACGATTGAAATTTATTCAAAACCGATCAATTCAAAATTTTTTGGGTCAAATAAATCCATCCAAATTTTCTAACGAGTGAATTTGCTTCAAATGTCCTAAAACGAGACAATTAGATCAAATTTATCCGTTAGAACTTCTACCCCAAATCAATTTGTCCTTGACTAACATTTTTTTTTTTTTTTCTTGTAAAAGCACTGCCTTCGCAGCGACCCACGTCAGCACTTGCGTCGTCAATAATGAGAACACCGGTCGCACTTGGCGTCAAGGATTTCGCCTTAATGCCACTTGGAGATGGCGGCTGATTCTGATTCAGGACAGAACAGCATTCGGTGCCAGGTTCCCATCACCAACCATCTATAATGCCAGCTTTCAAAATGGGTTTTCAAAAGCTACAGGTAACTCTTAGACATTAACCCTATCCTTCCTCCTCGCACGCTCTCAGTCCTATCTAATGTCGACGGCGAAGGGAACTGTATGCGTGACCGGCGCCGGAGGTTTCTTGGGCTCCTGGGTTGTTCATCTCCTCCTCTCCAAGAACTATCTAGTCCGAGGCACCGTCAGAGATCCCTGTAAGTTCAACCATAAAAAAAACCCCAAATTAGGTTCATCAAACACATCTTCAATTACTTCAACTTGATCAGTAATGGCTTTTGAATTTGAATGTTGCAGTGGATGAGAAATATGCCCACTTGAATCAGCTCCCGAACGCATCCTCGAATCTGAAGCTCGTGAAGGCCGATTTACTCGATTACCCATCCCTGTTCTCTGCAATTCAAGGCTGCTCGGGAGTTTTCCATGTCGCCAGCCCTCTTCCCTCTTCCCCTGTGGCAAACCCTCAGGCCAGTTCCCTATTTCTTCTCTCCCTGATTCTGGATTCTTCAATTGATTACAATTTTCAGCGACCCAGAAACGAAAGGAAACGACTTTCTCACAGAAACTCTGGTTTTAGGTTGACTTAATCGAGCCAGCGGTGACAGGAACCCTAAATGTTCTGAAAGCATGCCTTGAAGCGAAAGTCGAGCGAGTTGTGGTTGTGTCCTCTGGTGCTGCTCTTATGATGAACCCTTCCTGGCCTGATACTCGGGCCATGGATGAGTCTTGCTGGTCCGACGTTGAACATTGCAGAGCTATTGAGGTCTGGTTATTACTACTCTCCTATGGAGAAAAAGGGATATCGATAAAGCTTTTTTGTCAAATAGTTGGATAAGACCCTATGTTTAGGGTCTCATTGAATTGGTTCATAGTTAGTAATGGTATGACAAGAACCAAAAAACGGTTGCTTTTGTATCCAAATTATAATGGGAACCCATGTTAATCTTATATACTGTTGGTTGCCTGCAGAATTGGTACTGTGCCTCCAAGACAGAAGCTGAGAGCAAGGCATTTGAGTTTGGGAAAGCCAATGGACTTGATGTAGTAAGTGCTTGTCCCAATCTCATCTTCGGGCCAATCCTTCAGCCTACGGCGAATGCAAGCTCCTTGCTTCTCGCCAAGCTTTTGAAAGGTAGCCAGCCATCTTGTGTGCGAATGTCTAAAACAGTGTTCTGATTACGCTGAGTTTGCTTACATCCATGTAGCAAAGTTGCTTCCAAAGTTGGTTTATGGGTTTTGATCTTTGCTTCGGTTGTGTTACCGCAGCTAGAACAATAAATGTATTCTCATTCATGAGCTCTGTTTGCTGTCATATGCAGAAGGACATGACTTGGAGGATAATAGGCACCACCGGATTGTGGATGTGCGGGATGTAGCTGAAGCATTGGTTCTGGTGTACGAAAAGCCTGAGGCACAAGGGAGATACATCTGCACTTCGCATTCAGTCCATGTTAAGGATATTGTTGATATTTTGAAGGACGAGTATCCCAGCTACAACTATCCTAAGAAGTAAGCCCTTCATATCTCAATATTTTGCTTGAATAATCGTGGATAATCCCAGAAGTATAAAAATGCTAGGATATTAAACATCAACAAGTTGAGATGGCCGAGTTGGTCTAAGGCACCAGATTAAGGTTCTTGTCCGAAAGGGCGTGGGTTCAAATCCCACTCTCAACAAGTGTTTTTGTGCTTCTGCTATCGCAACTCAATTCGGCATTCTAAGTTGGTTATCTACCTCTCGGCTAATGTAGTCAACAATTTTGTTGGTGAGTGGCAGCTTTACAGATGGACAGCAGAAGAAAGAAATGAGTTCAGAGAAGTTGCAGAGGCTCGGCTGGAGCTACCGTTCACTGCAAGAAACCCTGGTGGACTCTGTGGAGAGTTATAAGAAGGCTGGTTTATTGGACTAGAACTGAACTCTTTCCTGTGCTTGGTAAACCCAAGTTTCTGGTGTGGATGAGGACATCACAAGTTCACATCGAAGAGTTTGATCTTTTTTTTTTTTTTTTTTTTTTTTTTTTGCAGAGAGTTGTTTTAATTGTGTACACCACGAGAATGGGTTGTTTATGCTAAATAAAATATCATACATCGAAGCTGCGACCGACATTGAATCGCAGGTTTTATAACTGTTTAACGATAGTTACATGATCTGCACGGTCGTAAAACACGATAAAGACGCCTTGATATCGACGAACATTAGGGGCCCTGACCGCAGATTCTGAACCAAACTGCGATTAGCACTCATCCATGTGACTTGTTGTGTTAGATACGGACGGTTCATGGACCGACCTGGTGTCTAAGGTCCGATTTGTATAATGGCAGAGCGACAGCCATCTCAGATACGCAGATGGAATAATATAACCCTACCCGAGAATGACAAAAGATACTGATTGTCAATACTCAATACTCTAGCATTATTCGTCTGACAACAAGGCCCATGTTAGCTTCTCACGCTTGATTGTTTCCCAAGGAACTTGTTGTTTGTGCTTTTACCCTACAATGCACATGGGAATGGAGTGAGGGAAATGTACGTGGGCGCGGTCCAAGCACCCTTCGTGTCCATTTATTTAGTGTCGTGCTTGACACGGTCCATTAGTTTTTGACTTTTTGTGTCCTGTTGTATCAGTCCATTTGTTATCCTACCATACATATATGGAGATTCTTGCTCAGCACCTACCCAATTAAAATTTTCCTGGCCTCCCCGCAAAGCAAGGAAGCCCTTATGAGTCTTTTGGCATCTCAATTTTTCGTGCATGCTACTATGGGTAACTCACACAACTGGACATGTCAATTGGGCTTTCCGTTTCCTTTTCCACAGCCCACCAAATTATAACTTATAATTGCAAATCAACATAAATTAATACATCATTAGTTTATTTGGACATAAACTTATGATTTCTTTGACCATTGTTATACGTGTTATACATATTGAATAAATAAACATAAAAATAAAAACATTTTATCAAGAGTTTCAAATGCATTTAACATTTTCAAATGCATTTAATGACGTGGCGGGTTTTGATGATGTGGCGGGTTGGGTATAGTGTTTTTCGGGTTAAATTCAGCTGATTAGACGATTCCGTTTGCCACGTCAGCACTTAACGGACTCAATTAACGGAGTTGGACGGAGACGAACAGAGAATGACCAAACGTGAACGGTTTCAGTAAACTAAATTACCACCAATGGATTTAAATATTTCGTGTGAGCAAACCTAAACGTTTTTTGTAATTTCAGTGACCAACCATGCAATTAACCCTAATTATATCGTATAAAAAATGAAGTTCCATATGGTTTTCGATTTAACAATTCAAGAATATGATCATTTTGTCATTCGGTGATAAACTTATATGTTTAGCTCGAGTGTACAAGAATTTGGTCTAAAATTTAATTTCTAATATCATTGCTTTCTTCTCAAAGAATGATAATTGTTCGACAAAAAAATGATAATTTCCTGCGAATTTCGAAAACATTTATTAGCAATTTTGAGCCTCTAGGGTTTCAGATTGTAATAAGTGAATAGATATTTTTACACTTAGTTATCAGACAACAAACAATTACCGATTTAAATCACTTGGTTTTATTAAAGTTCTAAGTTTCAATTCGAGTAAAGAGATGGATTGTGAAAATAAATCAATGAAGCAGAATTGTTGCTAATTTCAATAAATTCTTACTAAGGCTTTTTTTTATAGAAGGCTATTAATACTATGCATCTTAAATTATTTAATTTCTATTATAACAAATGAGATCAAGCTCCTATAGTCGATACGGGAATCATCCTCAGTAAAGCTTATATTGCTCTTCTAAATAATGAATCTCAATTATTAGCATTTTTCATATTTAAGATCCAACTACCCAATCAACTACTAACATTTTTCACATTTATGATCCAACTCGAGTTGTGAATACTACCAAATATGAGTTTGTTGTCTTGGATCATCAAGAATTCAGGATTCTGAGAACTACTGTTGAAAATCTATAAAAAAAATAGTGGAAGAATGAATCGTCAAGTTGGATCACAAATTAGCAATTCCATAAGCAAATTAACAATTTTGAACATAATTATTGATGGAAAAAAATGAATTTCAAACAAAAGGTGAAACTATAATGAGACAAATTCTTTTGTTCTGAAGCACCTATCAATGATGAATATTGTGGAGTTTTTTTGACAATATATTGTGGAGTTGATGATGAAGATTGTTGATGGTTAAGAGGTGATATCGATTATTTTGAAACACCTACATGCTTAATTTCAACCAGAATTGACATAGATGGCTCTGATTACAATGTTGGTGATTCTTATGATGGATGCACATTTTCTCTTCTCGAAGAATTTAATAATTTGATTTTCTTAAAAAGATAAAAACTAAGAAACTAGCTTGCGATTTGATAAAATTGATATCATTATTTGTTAATTCGCATGGCATTAACATATAATCCTGGCACGAATATAAGAGAAGTGGAGATTATTGAAATTTAAATTTAAAAACTTTGTTAGTTAATGTATCATATTGCAACCGGCCAACGGGCCGGGATACAATCTAGTTTTAGCTAGGCTCGATCCGAGCCTGAGCACGGTTTGAATCGTGTCGTGCCTATTTTTGCTCGTGATGCACTCATAATCGTGCTAATTAAAAAGGAAGAAAATAAAAGAGGCAATGAAAAAAGGAGAAAATTGGGCGAAGAATGTAAGTATTAACAGATGATATTTGAGAAATGTAACAAATAAAGGGTGGAAAAGAAAATTGGAAGTATATCGTGGTGTGATTTGCCTTTGTTTAATTATTCGTCTGTCTTTTCTTTTGGTAGTAATTACGCATATATTTTTATGATCACTTCTAACAACAATAAATAATTATTTTTATAATTGCATGTTGTAATATTTGAACCTATAATTCTTTTTATATTTATTTCTATTAAAGAAATATTCTTTTCGTTCCATTTTCGCTCTTATACTCAATAAGCTCTCGAAAATATTAGGCTCGACACAGCCCACTTACAGACCATGCCGTGCCCGTGCTCTTAAAGTTTAGGCCCGACACGACCCTTGAATTATTCGTGCTCGTGCCGGACCTGCCCATATATTTCGTGTCGTGCTCTAACCGTGCAGTGTCGTGTTAGCCCGTGGGCGGCGCGACCCGTTGCCCACGTACAGGGGAAACTATGAATTAAAAAATGTTTTGATTTTCTTTAAAAAAAGGGTTAATATTTTCGTATGGCCTGAATTTTGACCAAAATAAACATCGTGGCCAATCTTTTCGATCTATAACATCCTGGCCCGAACTATATACCAAAATAAACAATTTGGCCAGATCCGACTTTTGACCGTTAACTTGAACGGTCAAACGCGTTGACCGTTAGTCAACGCGCCATGTCACTGCCAAGTCAGCATAAAATATTTAAAATAATTCACAATTTCCACACATTCCCTCATTTTAAATTAAAAAAATCATCTAATACCTTAGTTAAACCAAAAATAAAAAACGAAAAAAATTTAAATATTTATCAGATCTTCTGACTTGGCAGTGACGTGGCGCGTTGACCGTTAGTCAACGCATTTGACCGTCCAAGTTAACGGTCAAACATCGGGTTTGGCCAAATTGTTTACTTTGGTGTATAGTTCGGGCCAGGATGTTATAGATCGAAAAGATTGGCCAGGATGTTTATTTTGGTCAAAGTTCAGGCCATACGAAAATATTAACCCTAAAAAAAAATTGTTTTGGTCGTACAATTTGTTTTAACCTGATGTTGTATGTTTACTACCTACAAATAAAAATATCCACCGTGGCAGATAGCTAATCCAATCTAGTTGGATAGGGTAAAATTCGAACTCGAAAAATTTTCAGCTGATAATAGTAATATCTAAATTCGAATTTTATGGATAATGAGTGGCGAGTTCGCTCACTATCTATTTCAAACCCACCCGATTATACACATACATATGTATTTTGTCTTGAAATTATTATTTTTCTCAACATATTTGATATTTATTATACATATATATCATATTGTCGTGAAATATTATTTTTAACCAACTTTCTTCATTCTAGTGATTTATTGTCATATTGTTCCACTTATGTAAAGTCAATATAGGTGTGAATAACATGTTGGTTCGTTACTACGTTCAATGCAGGCTTCATATGGTTATTGAACAGAAGCTGCTTTGTGTCCTACTTCCACGAATCTGGCGATTCTCTAATTTCATATATCGTAGTTGATTTAAGGATCTAACTATTATAAATTTTTAACGTGATTCACCTCTGCCAAACCGGCTCTGATGACCTTCTTTGACTCATTACTGCAGGAACACCCTATCAAGGTGGCATATTTTTCCTTGACATAATTAATGTTTCCAAGCCACTATCCGTTCAAACCGCCAAAGGTAAAGAACTAAAGATCCTGTTCAGTTCATTTGTACTTGGAGCAAAAGGTTTACGCTTTCTGCGCTGAAACAAATGCAAATGCTTTTGGCTGCTTGCTTGAACAAGTGGAGAAATGATCTCTGCCTCCCAACTCTAATCGCCTCATCAGTTTGTATGATCACAAACTTCTTTTTTCCAGGTAGTATTCAACACCAGGATTTACCATTGTAATGTCGATTCTGCTGTCAACCTAAACATGGACATCCTGAGAGAGAGCTGGAGTCCAGCTCTCACCATTACTTACATGAACAAGATTCAATATCAATGAGCTCGATTTTCACCAACCCCGATCCTTGTAATTCTCCCCCCCATACTTCTTTCTGGGTTCTTGTATAATGATAGTGTTGTAGTCTAATGATGCTGGCCTGATCCATTCAAAAACTGAACGTTCGATCAAACTTCTGAACTCAGTGGTTAGTTTTTCTGCAGATGATCCTCAAATTCCTGGCATTGCACACTTGTATCTGGCGGATAGGCCAAATCATGACGAACTAGCTGCAGAGTGAACTCGGAGATTTGCCAAGCTTGTTTGTTGTTTCATTTGGGCAGAGTAGACTATGCATACTTGGTTTGGTGTTAATGGTTTCTCACTTTGCTCACCCTTGTTTTGTTAAAACTAACATATAAACCAGTTGTAGTCTAATTGAATCATACTACTTGCGAAATTGACATAATGATTTAAATCGGTTTGACAACGCGGAACATTCACCCAACAACATCCAAAATGTTTTATATATAGATGTGAACAATAACTTTTGAGCTGGAGTAGAAACAATTTTGGAGCATAATCCAATCAGAACCAAAGACCAGCCAAGTCATCAAGCTAAAAAAGCAGTTGAAGCAATGTTTGCATGACCGTACCGTATTGGTGGTTCGGTCTAGAACACGTTCTACCGAAATCTAAATGGATAAGTGATTTTTAGCGGTATGAAACGGTCATGATTTCAGTATAAAATATTCTACTGCTGACTCTTCGGTTTGCAACTTCCGGTACGATCTTAACAATCTTGATTGGAAGGAAATCAATCAATGAAACCCAAACATACCTTTGTCAAATATAAAAAAAATAAAAACCCAAACATACATCATCATCAACTTACTCTGCCACAGGCCAATAGATCCCTTGATGAACCATCCAATGAAGGTGACAACGACTCGGTCTCCTTTCAAAGTTTCACCAACATATGCTCACTACAACAATTTGTCCTTTTACTTTCTTGTGTGAATTGGAGAATGAATGTTTTAACGAAAACAAGAAAACACAACTCTGACTAATTCATAAGCAAGGACGGCCGCTTTTGGGGTTTTCCTACTTAATCTAATCTTTCCACTATACTCAATCTCATTGAACGATTTTAATCATGTCGACGGGGAAGGAATCCGTCTGCGTGACCGGCGCCGGAGGTTTCTTAGGCTCTTGGGTTGTTCACCACCTGCTCTCCAAAAACTATCTAGTCCGCGGCACCGTCAGAGACCCCTGTAAGTTCCCCTTTTCCACATTTCTCAGATCAACAATCCCGCCGCCGGCGGTGCTGACTTGCCGATTGCCAAACTTCCTCTTTTAAGTGGACGCAAAGAATGCCCACTTGAAGCAACTCCCAAACGCATCCACGAATCTGGAGCTCGTGAAGGCCGAATTACTGGATTATCCTTCTCTGCTTTCTGCAATTCAGGGCTGCTCCGGTGTCTTCCATGTCGCCAGCCCTGTTCTTTCCTCCGTCGTACTGAATCCACAGGCTAGTGTATATATCCAACTAGTAACATGATCTTCTTCCTTTGATTTATACAGCTCCTGACAAACTGAACTTAAAACGGACTCGAAAATTTTCCTTGATCTCAACGGAAGAGAATTTCAGTCTTTTTTTTCTTCTTTTTCAGGTAGAGATCATCGAGCCGGCAGTGACTGGAACACTGAATGTTCTTAAAGCGTGCGTCGAAACGAAGGTGAAGCGGGTGGTGGTTGTCTCTTCTGGCGCTGCTGTTATAATGAACCCTGCCTGGCCCAGCGGTCGACCCATGGACGAATCTTGCTGGTCCGATGTGGAATATTGCAGAGCTACTGAGGTGTGTGATTATAATCAACCGATAAGGTTTATCGATTTGGTTATTGGTTTTGATTTTTTTCTCTCTTATTGGTTAATCACTAACCATCATATTGTTCAGTGGTTAACCGAAATCAAACAGATTAGTATCCTTAGAAAGAACATTATTTGGTCTCAAGTGGCTCCGCCACTGCCTATCATATAAAAAAATGTAAATTTGTTCCTATTACTGTTCATCATCTACAGAGATGGTATCAAGTTTCAAAGACAGAAGCAGAGAGTCAGGCGATTGAGTATGGGAAAGCCACTGGACTCGATGTAGTAACCGTTTGTCCCAATCTCATCATGGGACCTGTTCTGCAACCAACGAGGAACGCAAGCACCTTGGTTCTCTCCATGGCTTTGAAAGGTACCTTGTGATGATTTGGAACGATGTTAAAATAGGGTTTCCGTTTTGTTCATTCATCGACTCTGTTTTGCTACGGTAACTGCAGAAGGAGGTCACGACTCTGTTGAGAACAAGCATTGGATGGTTGTGGATGTGCGTGATGTAGCCGAAGCTTTGGTCTTGGTGTATGAGAAACCGGACGCGGAAGGAAGATACATATGCTCGGCTCATTCGGTTCGTGTTAAGGACATGGTTGATATTGTGACGGAAAAATACCCTGACTACAATCGTCACAAGAAGTAAGTTTTCTTATGAAACTATAAGCAGTTTGGTGTTCATGCATACGCGTGTTCTTCAAAATAGTTAGTTTTTTGTGTTCACATTAAGGGTTTTGGTTTAGAAAGAACACAATTCGAATCCCAGTTTGAAACGTTTTTTTTTTTTTTTGTTCCTTTCTTTCTTTTTGGCAGGTTTATTGAGGAGGGACATGAAAAGAAAGAAACGACCTCAAAAAAGTTGCAGGGTCTAGGTTGGAGTTACCGTGCACTACAAGAAACTGTTGTTGAATCTGTGGAGAGCTATAAGAAGTAGGGATGGCAATAAAACCCGAACCCATGGGTACCCACTCGACCCAACCCGGTCAATGCGGGTAAAATCCGTGTTGACGGGTTTTGGGCCGGGTTTGGGTTTAAAGCCGTTCACTATTCAATGGGTTGGGTTGGGTTTGGGTTTAGATGAACCCGGCCCGTGGGTACCCGCCCACTCATATAATTAATTTTTTTGGTATATTTAATATTCTAAACAACTAATCTTATTTATGTTTGTGGAGACATATCTAATTTTTTCTTTTTAATTGTGTAGAATGAAGTTGATGTTATGAAGTGGAGAGTAAAGAAAAGAATCTTTCAATTAAACATGTTATTTATGGATTGGTGTTGAACAATTTATGATTTGCTTCAATTTTTTTGAGTTTTCTAGATTGGTGTTGAACAATTTGTATAGTTTATTTGTGATTTGCTTGAATTTTCTAGAATGGTGTTTTATATATGGATAATTTGTATTGAGAGATTGATATTTGGCTTTAATTTTGATAAGAACTTGTAATTGTAAAATTTTTACGACAAAACCCGTGGGTACCCATGAACCCGCGGATACCCAACGGGTTGGGTTGGGTTTGAGTTTTTCAAACCCAGTGGGTTTTACCCCGGGTTTTTTTCAGAGATAAACCCATGGGTTTGGGTTTGACAAAACCCGACCCAACCCGACCCATTGCCATCCCTAATAAGAAGGCAGGGTTCTTAGACTATAGCTGAATCCTTCCTTCAACTAATGTATACACCTTGGTGTTTCCACGCAAGTTAATTAGTACTCTCTTGAGGGAGGATGGGCATTGGTGATTAGAAATTTGTCTAAAGTTATGAAAGTTAAATTGAATTCTTCTGCGAGCGAGTGTTGCGAATCAGAGTGGAAGTTTTCCAAGATACTGCTCTCCATTAACCGCAAATGAGCATCGACAGTTGGATCATGCTTTCAGTTCATTCGGTGTATACTTTTGACTTGAGGGAGTTTGCTTGAAAGGTTTCTAACTTTGTGGATTTCTAACTTTGTGAGATGAGTCTCATGTTTTTCAATGTTTTAAGGGGAAGTCTAGTAAGCAATATTTTTCGTACTTTACCTTTTGAACGGTCCAGAAATATTAGATAAGTATCCCAAAATGATAAGTGATTAGTGGTACGAAATAGTTGAATTACGGTTAAATCATGATTATAGTATAACTTTTCGGTAGAATCTCGAGTGTGATTTCACAATTATTTCTACCGTCATCCCAAACAATTGAAATTTGACTTAAAGCGGATCAATTCAGAAAAATCAAATTGATCGGATCAAATTTTCTGCGGCCGAACATTCAATTTGATTCAATTACCCAAAACAATACAATTGAATCAAATAAATCCCTTACAATTTCTCAAAATGCCAAACCAATTTGTCCTTCAGTGACAAAAAAAAATAAGTGAATAAAGCACTGCCTGTGCACCGACCCACGTCAGCACTTGCGTCGTCAATAATGAGAACACAGGTCGCTCTTGACGACTTGGCGTCAAGAATTTCGCCTTAATCCCACTTGGAGATGGCGGCTGATTCGGACACAGAACAGCATTCGGTGGCAAGCCCACACCAAGCTTCTTCAATGGCAGCTTACAAAAATGGGTTTTCAAAAGCTACAGAGAAGCCTCAGACATTAAACCTCATCGTTCCCTCCCCACACTCTCCGAGTCCGATCTCATGTCGACGGCGAAGGGAACTGTATGCGTGACCGGCGCCGGAGGTTTCTTGGGCTCCTGGGTTGTTCATCTCCTCCTCTCCAAGAACTATCCAGTCCGAGGCACCGTCAGAGATCCCTGTAAGTTTCAACTAATAAAACCCCCAATTTTGATTCATCAAACCCATCTTCTTTACTAGAAGTACTTCAATTTGATTAGTAATGGCTTTTGAATTTGAATGTTGCAGAGGATGAAAAATATGCCCATTTGAAGCAGCTCCCAAACGCATCCTCGAATCTGAAGCTCGTGAAGGCCGATTTACTGGACTACTCATCTCTGTTCTATGCAATTCAAGGCTGCTCGGGAGTTTTCCATGTCGCCAGCCCTGTTCCCTCTTCCTCTGTGGCAAACCCTCAGGTCAGGCCAGTTCCCTATTTCTTATTCCCCTGATTCTGGGTTCTTCAATTGATTACAATCTACAGCGACCCACAAACAAAAGGAAGCGACTTCCCTCACACACGAGCTCTGTTCTTAGGTTGACTTGATCGAGCCAGCAGTGAAAGGAACCCTAAATGTCCTGAAAGCATGCCTCGAAGCGAAGGTCGAGCGAGTTGTGGTTGTGTCTTCTAGTGCTGCTCTTATGATGAACCCTTCTTGGCCTGATAGTCGGGTCATGGACGAGTCTTGCTGGTCCGACATTGAACATTGCAGAGCTATTGAGGTCTGGTTATTACTACTCTCTTATGGAGAAAGCAATGCTGTTTTATTAATTAGTAGTACAAGACCCTGTGTTTAACTTCTCATTGAATTGGTTCATAGGTAGTAATGGTATGACAAGAACAAAAAAACGGCTTGCTTTTTTATCCAAACTCTAACGGGAACCATGTTAATTTTATACTGTTGGTTGCCTGCAGAAATGGTACTGTGTCTCCAAGACAGAAGTTGAGAGCAAGGCATTTGAGTTTGGGAAAGCCAATGGACTTGATGTAGTGAGTGTTTGTCCCAATCTCATCCTCGGGCCAATCCTGCAGCCCACCACGAATGCAAGCACCTTGCTTCTCGCCAAGCTTTTGAAAGGTAGCCAGCCATTGGTATCCTGTGTGCGAATTGTCAAGCTTCCATCCATGTAGCTGAGTTGCTTCCAAAGTTGGTTTATGGGTTTCGATCTTCCCTTTTGCTGTGCTACTGCAGCTAGAACTGTAATGTATTCTCATTCATGAGCTTTATTTGCTGCCATATGCAGAAGGATCGGACTTGGCGGATAATTGGCACCACCGGGTGGTGGATGTGCGATGTAGCAGAAGCATTGGTTCTGGTGTACGAGAAGCCTGAGGCACAAGAAAGATACATCTGTACTTCACATTCTGTCCATATAAAGGATATTGTGGATATATTGAAGGACAAATATCCCAACTACAATTATCCTAAGAAGTAAGCCCTTCACAGTTCTATTACTCTTCTTGACTAATCCTGCATAGAACTAATACTAGAAGCACATTAAGATATTAGGTATCAACAAGTTGAGATGGCCGAGTTGGTCTAAGGCGCCAGATTAAGGTTCTGGTCCGAAAGGGCGTGGGTTCAAATCCCACTCTCAACAATAGTTTTTATGCATCTGCTCGATTCGGCATTCTTAGTTTTGCTTATCTGCCTCTCCTTTCCAAGTGTGGCTAATGCAGTTTAACATTTTTGTCGGTGGGTGGTAGCTTTACAGATGGACAGGAGAAGAAAGAAATGAGTTCAGAAAAGTTACAGAGGTTAGGTTGGAGTTACCTTTCGCTGCAAGAAATTCTGGTGGACTCTGGAAGGCTGACTTATTGGACTAGAAGTCTAGAACCGAACCCTTTCCTGTTAATGGTAAACCCTACTTCTGGTGTGGATGAGGACATCACAAGTATCACATCAAAAGAGTTTGATTAAATCGCATGGAAACGAGTTGTTTTGATTGTGTACACCACGGGAATATGTTTTTTTAATACGAAATAAAATGATTATACAACGAAGCTGTGACCGACACTGAATTGCATGTTCTATAATTGTTCAATGATAGTTGTGTGATTCACACTGTTGTAAAATGCGATAAGATGTCCTGTTGTCAACAAACGTCAGGTTCCTGGCTGCAGATTCCGGACCGAATTGCGATGAGCACTCATCCATGTGACCTAATGTGTTAGATACAGACAGTCGATGGACCTGGTGTCTATCTAAGGTCTGATTTGTATAATGCAAAGGGACAGCCATCTGAGATACGCAGATGGAATAAACCCTACCGGAGAATGACAAAAGACACTGTTTGTCTATATGCTAGCATGCCCCATTCGTCTGCAACAAGACCCATGTTAGCTGCTCACGCTTGATTGTTTCCCAAGGAACTTGTTGAATATGCTTTTAGCCTAACAATGCACATGCGAAAGGAGAGGGTGGGGAGTACAGTTTGTTTTAACCTGATGTGTATCTTCTTTACTTTGCAACCTACAGTTTGGAATGTCAAATGGAAAAAATATCTGTGAATATCAATTCGAATCCGTGAGATTCAATTTCGAACATTACGGATAATGAATTGGTTTCCCACTATTCAACACAAACCCACCCGATTATACACATGTATATGTATTTTGTCTAGATATTGTTATTTTTTTTTTCAATATATGTGACATATATTATACATATATAATATTTTCATGAAATTATGTTGTTTTAACTAATTTTTTTCATTCTAGCAATTTATTGTCGTGCGTCACTTGTGTAATGTCACTACAAGTGTGGATGTTAATGGTTGGAGTTATAAAGATAAACTATTACTCATGGATAGTAGTGGATATCTGAAACTCCATTAGTTATTATTTTGATTTTAACTATGTTAGTAGAATAATGAATATGCACTATTCGCCCCAACCCGATTCGTTGTCATCCCTACCTACAATCACATCTTTGAGACGCAAATTTTTTGAGTAAACTTTTTGGTAGGGTAGTTTTTAATTTGCTTCATGGATTTTTGAGAGATTTGGGTCCTAAATCCAATAAATTATATACTTGCCCCAAAGTCCATTGCTTGATAGCCAATTTTAGGAGAGTAAAAATTAATCACACCAACAAATATAATCAAACAAAATCCATAATAAAATCCAACAAAGAAATAACAGATTCTTCAAATCTATATTGCCTATCATGAATCTTGAATCTTCTAAAACTCAAAATTTATCAAAATCCTCATTTTCCAATACCATATCGCTTCTCACAAATATAATCAAACAAAATCCATAATAAATCCAACAAGCAAACAATAGATTCATTAAATCTATAATACCAACAAATCCATCATAAATCTATTATTTTTTAATTCAAATTTAAAAAAAAATCCTCATTGTTTCTATGAGATTGTTATTACACTTGTATTGTTTAGAATGCATCATTTTTTTTAGTAAACACATATTATTTTATCTCAACTTTTAACACTATCTCATATGCCAAACCAATACTTCGGCTATATTGGTTATCCTTTCTCGCAGGATTTACCGCAAAAGTATAAGCGAGAGCATCGGAATAATCGGTACTCACTGTCCCTTTTACCCTCTTAGACTCTAGGGCTAATTTGCCCGTATTCGGCTCACAAAACGCTTCTAAAGATTTAAAATCTCGGATTAAGCCATCGTGATTAGGGATTGGTGACAACAACAGCCACTCGGAAAATTTTACGTATAGTTCTGTACGACGATTCCTATAGGACTCATGGTCATCGGCTCGACTTTGTCCTTTTTCTGCCGTAACAAAATATCCCAAATCCTCTAGGTAATAATAGGTTTGTACACCAATGCCGTTGGCATCAATCACGACTGCATCAGGGCTGTATTTGTTAATATATTTCATCAAATTCATCAATATATATTATTATACATAAGTTCACAACAATACATCTATTTAACAATCGCAATGACAACTTCCAAACGTGCTCTAACATCGAATAAGCACCTACCAATTTCGATCTACATTCAGTTGAGCAGGAACATTGAAGCGTTTTCACCAAAAAGTTGAAACCATTGAAACCCACGACAAGATGTCCCTTCTTAACCATTTCTGGTTCATTGCCCACAAAATGGTCCCTCTTGCGAACACCATCATTTCTACTTCCATTGCCATTTGCCAACACATACATAACTAATTAAGCACCATTCCCGAAAACCATTCCCAGTAAATCCCAACCACCACGAGAGCAATAAATCAGAGAGAAAGATCGGTTAGCCACCCAGAAGATAAGAAGGAAGTTCAGAATCATTAATGAACCGATCCCATCCCATCAACTAATATACATACTGATTGATGATTCAACTTACAACAGTCAACTCAAACCAACCCAACCCGTCAACCCAAAATTACCCACCCTACCCCAAATGTCACGGCGAAGAGGATGATCCTGATCCTGGTCCCGGCCGAACCTGCCGATCGGCGCCGGAACCAACCCTACCCAAAATCGACCCACAAACCAGCGGCTGGGCCGCCGGAATCCTCAAACAACTCAACCCACCGCCGGGCACCAACGAGCACTCCGGCTGCGGCCGCTGCATATCCCTCCCGGGGATACAATTCGACTCGAAATCAAACCCGACGTTCCTCACAAACAGCTTCGCGCACTCCTGACTGAACCCAGAAAAGAAATTGTACGCCACCGTCAAATTCACCAAGCTCCGCAACGAGCAGACCAGCTCGGGGAGCGAACCCGAAAGCTCATTGTGTGCCAAATTCAGAACCTCGATCTCGTTCAAGCACGCCACCGTGTCGGGCAAATGACCCATCAGGGAATTGAAGCTGACGTCGAAAACCTGCATCTGGGAGAAGAGCCCGATTCCTTCGGGGACGCACCCCGTGAGCTGGTTGTTGAGGAAGAGAATCTCCTTGAGCCTCGAGTTCATGAACCCCAGGCTTAAGGGGATCTGTCCGGTGAACTTGTTGTAGCCCAAATTGATGACGGAGGCAGGGGAGTTGCCGAGATTGTCGGGGATTTCGCCGTCGAATTGGTTGTTGTTGAGGAAGATGGCGTCGAGGCGCTTGTCGAAGAGGGCGTCGGGGATTGGGCCGGAGAAGGAGTTGAATCGGAGGTCGAGGTAGACGAGATTGGGGATGTAGAGGACGGAGGAAGGGAACTGGCCGGAGAATTGGTTGTTGCTGAGGTCTAATTCCTGGAGGGAAATTAGGTCACGGAATGTCTCCGGGACGGCACCGCGGAATCTGTTGGAATTGAGGTGGAGGAGGGTCAAATCGGTTAAGAGGGAAAGCTCGGTGACGAGGGTTCCCTGGAGATTTGCACGGTTGAGATCTATTCCGGTGACGGTGGGAGTGGAGGAAGAAGAGGGGGATTGTTGTTTGCAGAAGATGCCTTTGTAGGAGCAGACATTCTGGCCGACCCACGTGGCGAGGACGCCGGAAGGGTCGGCGGAGATTGCGGATTTCCAGGCCTGGAGAGCAGAGTAAGCGGCGTCGAGGGTCGAGCCGGCAGGAGGGTTAGGGTTTTGGGAGGTGACTCCGCCGCCGATCCACACGCCTCCTGTACCTGCATTGCCGATTCCGACGCTGACGCCGCCGCCGATTGTGACGGCGGCGGCGGCTGTGTTGGTTGTGGGTAGGAGGAGGAGGAGGAAGAACAGAGACAAGAGGGAGATCTTGGTATGATGGGTATGGCGCTTGCTCCTGGTCTGCATCATTTTCAGAGACTGTGAACTTTGATGGGTGTGTTTTTGGATTTGTGTAGGTTTTTGTTTGTTGATCTTGTGGCTAGTGTAGAAGATGGCCATTAAGGCTTAGAAGTCACAAAGCATCGGACAAAGGGAAGTGATGGTGGGCCTCCATTCGGGTTCATTTCACGAGCTAGCTAAGCTAGCTATCACTCCATCTTTCCCAGAATTTCAGCTTCTTGTGTGTGTTTGTTATTTTGTTTGTTTGCATTATATAGAACAACAAACACTTAAAGGCCTTCGAGATGGTTCGCCAAATTATCGAGCTGAACTCGTCATGGCTTGAGCTCCGCTCATTTTCAAACGAGATTGTTCGCAAGATCAATCAATTGAAGATGAGCAGAGTGTCGAACAAGTTTTACTCTAGTTGGATGCTGAGCGTTCATAAGCGAATTGGTTCATTAACAGCCCTAACTACTTTATTGAAAGTTTACTTAAAAATAGCTTAAACGTTGAGCTAGTAACGATACTGAGATAATAAATTAATAATGTCCATATTGCAATTACTTATATTGAAATCATAGACCAACAACAATCATGGGAATCACAGTTTACTAGTTTTTGGCTTTGATCGACATAATCACTGTAGAAAGCTTGACTTGAAGGAGTGTTGAATAGTCAATGATCAATTTACAGTGAAAAATAAATGGTGGGTCAGTGGAGGAAAAAGATTCACCTGCTACTTCATATAATAACGATACATAATTTGATGTGGGGCTCGAGTAAATTATCTTCCAACCTTCCATTGTAGCATTTTTCTTCTTCGCGCGGTTGACGAACAGGGACAACACAGAGAGAATCTATATTCTATATGACCATGATGAAGTCCGATATAGAGCGAGGGGAGGACATCCGATTCAGTTCAGAACCATATCGAATTGATTTAGCACTCGGATCAAAAGCATGTTTGCTTCATTTAGTTCGATTAGCTTCGGTCTAAATTCAATTTCGTCCATTTCTTTTCATACTTAAAAATAATTCATAGGATCATAACCAAATCGAAGAATATATTCAACCCGATATAATGTGGTCCGAATATCGATTGAGTTCGATGTGAACCGGATCGTTGTTAACCCTTGCTAATCATGTTCTGGTCTGGCCGGCCGCTTGCAATGTTTTGTTGATATATGAATACATACATTATAGTTTCAACTTTCAAAATATTAAAGAGAGGATCGTTCTAAATTACGCATCCATCCACCACTCTAGAATCATTTTTGAAAATGATTCAAGTCTGATTTTATTTGGTTAATATGTTAATCCTGGATTAAGAATCTCTAATCATACCGACAATGACTCTCGATGAAGATAATTACCTAAATGTCATGGACATCCAGGATCGCTTAGGTCGATGTTTTGACGCCTTCAGTTCTCAACTAACCTGAACACTTGCTCAATTACACGAGCGGAGCTAAAAGCTGCAGAAGTAGGCCTCATCAAACGTGTCTGGAAAAGCAGGGTACAAGAAAACTATCATGTGTGTGGATTCAACAACGGCCATTAGGATTATCTCAAACAAGGAGGAGTATGACCACCATCATGCCATTCTAGTGCACGAGATTATTCGAATGCTGAATTTTGGTTGGGATGTTAAAATCTCCCGGGGTCTATAGAGAATGTCATTATGCAGCAGATTTCCTGGACATAGTCTTAATTTTGGCACATATCTTATCAATGTGAGCGATAACGATTTCAAATTCTGGATCTTTTGTGATGT